CAAAAGCGAATTTTGCAGTGAAAAATATAAATTTTTCCTTAAACCTAAATGTCTGCGTAAAACACCCTGTCGCCTGAAAATATACAAAGAAATTATCATTCGCAAAAATTTCTTTACAAACAAAATCGTAATTGTTGTTATGTTGCTTTAAGCACACACAAATTCATGCACGAAAGTATTTGCATAACTTTACACCAAAAAGTATGCAACGAAAAACACTTGTTCGCAGATAGCAAGCAATTATCTCCAAGAAAACTTAATTGCAATTAATTGGAAAAACATAGTTTTCCAAATGGAAATTACGAAGTTACATTTTTGGCATGTCTATGCTTTGGTGCCTGAAAGTATGCAGCAGCAATGCAAACAAGTAGCAAGAGAGTATCAGTTCTATAGGAAAATTGCAATTAAAAGTTTTCCTTTGCTGGTTGCCTATACCCTTGCATATTTCTTAACGTGCGCCCAAAAGTATGCTGCGACAAACTTGAATTTAAGAGATAAGAAATAGCTTTTACGCGGAAAAAGATATGGAAATTAGAGCGGTGCTTAGAAGTTGAGAAAAGGATTTATATGATTAAGTTAAATTAATGTAAATATTAGTTAACGAATTTCGCTTGTGGAGGCAACAAAATGTATGCAATATAATTTTTTTTAACAAAAAAAACGCCACGCGATATTTCACTGATGCCTAGTAGACAATCGCTTCATAACATGTAATTTTAAATAATCCAAAAGTTCTTCATTTCCAGAAAATTTAGTATGACTTGCGCCTAGAAATATAAACCGTTCTAGTTGAGTTCAAAAACAACAAAACACACTTTCCAGCCTTTAAACCGGAATGTTCTGAAGTTTAATAGCCAAACCATAAACCATAGCTTATATATAGACTGTACCTTGTAGCGCCTAAAATTATGCAGCCGTGAAATATTTCTAAAGCAGAAATAATTTTAAAACTTTGAAGATATAAAATTCTATGCAATCTAGCTATCAAGTCTTTTAATTAGTAGATACAATTTAGAGTTTAGCTTGTTTTAACGCCTAAAATTATGCAACTGTTAGCTTGACATCTTCATTAAAACCTTTCCATTTCACCTACAAGGTTACAAATAGTTTGTTTTTCTACAAATTAACTGCAACGACTACCTCAACAATTTCATATTTACCTTAGCAATGCACCCAAATGTATGCAACACAATGTCAATTCTTGCATAAGAATAACAAAAACTCAATTACTAGCTTTCCGTTTCAGTTATTTTCTAACAATCACTAACTGCGCTACACTGCTAAGCACCTAAAAGTATGCAACCAAAATTTATTAAACACTAAATACCCTAAATCTGGGTAGTAGTTACCGACAATACACGCTTTGTGGCTACATAACTACACAAAACCACATTTATATTGAGCGAAAGTTGTGAAAATTCTGGCTGTATTTGTGCGCGTCTTTGTGTGGGTGCGCCGGCAAGTTTGTAAAGTGTAACAAAAACCAACAAGTATCTGAAAGTATGCTACGCGCATATAACTTTTCCCATCATGCGAAACTAAGTAAAATTAAATTTTCGACGTACTTTTACCGGCGCGCGTTGGGGAGTGGGCAGCAGCCGGTGCAATCGCAGTGAAGCAGGCGGCAGCAGTGTGTTGTCATTTGTTTGTTTGTTTGCTTATAAGTTTCGTTGGTTTTGGTTAGAAAAGTCGTAGTCGAAAAATATGCTGCTTATTGAAAAGTTTGCGCTAAACACTGAGCGGTCGGCAGTGGAAGGAAAGTGAAAATGAAACGGTGAAATTGAAAAGGGAAGCGGTGTGGAAAAGAGCGAGGGGACGGTGGTAAGGTAGGATGGGCGATATTGAATTTAATTTTAAGAGGAAGAGGAGAAGGGGAAAGCAGGTCGCGGAGCGCTGTGAGGGCTGGCGAAGTAAGGGGTGACACTGAAGGCTTCAGCAACATTGCAATACACAGCAAGGTTGGTTCAACAAGTGGGGCGGCAAATGTGTTTGAATAAGTGAAGACGGAAAAAAATTTTTGAAAACTAAATTTTTTCTCCTTTTTCTTTCAACTTTTTCACGGCCACGCTAAAGGGTCTGAAATGCTGTGACGTGACGTTTTCGTTTTGTTATTGTTGGTAACTAATGTGGCAGTATTGCCGCTGCAGGTGAATGACAGCTATTGTATTGCATACCTTTGGGGGCAATAAATTTGTTTCGTACAACACAAAATAAAGTTTCATGTTACATAGTTGGTCAGAAATTTTAAAATTTTCGAAATTGCGACCAAGAAAAGTTTCATAATTATATGAAAAATCTATTTCAACCGCACAGCATGACAGACAACAAGCGGGTTATAGCGAAAACAAAATAACAAAATTTATTATAATTTGCACCAACTTCCCGCTAGGTGATCGATTACATTTTGAACCGCAAAAACCAGAGCGTACAGAGGCGTCCTTGGCCAATCAGTAACGGTGTCGCATACAGGAAAATAACAAAAACAACTTAATTATATAGTAATTGAAATTGGCAAGCAAGCTGGCGCCCCGAATGCCAGCCAAACTGGCAAACCGCTAATTTTCAAAACCCCAACTGCAAACTAACTCAAAATTCAATTCATCTTCCACCGCGGCGCTGGTGCATGAGTTTTATGGCAGCCTTGCTGACGCAATGAAATTTATGCGCAACAACCGCCATAGAGCCAAAGCTAGCAGCGCCATCTGACACACCTGCTTGCACCAGTCAGCGCCTTTCACTTGGAACACTGCCCCTCTACAAATGCGTGTAGTTGCACCCACAACGCTGACTGGCGTCGATTTTCGCCCGCAGCTAAATTAATTAAAAGCCAACATTATGCTTATCCATAATCATTGCATACTTTTCGGCTTAGTCGTGCAGTATCGGACGTACGCGCTGATACTTCCAGGAAAATAAATAGCTCGAAAATATAAAATAATCAATTAGTTGTTTTATAATAATTGTTAAAAATTCACATAATTTTAGGCGCATGAAGGTTGTGGCTGAGCGTGTAATTAATGCACGATTGTTAGCCTTGGCGAAGAGCATATTTAAACGATTTGCGACTAGATAATGGCATTGTGCAATAAATTTGAATAAAAGTGCAAAATGTTGCATAAGCTTAGGCGAGCAGGTTGCAATAATTAACTGCGCTTAGTGTTGGCCGAATGAGTAACGAGAAGCGTGTTAAAACTAACAAAACATTCTAAAATGTATGCAACTGTAGCATGCTTTTGGGTATAGAAGCCCTCCCGTGAGAAAATTACGATATAATTTTAGACGCAAAAGCATTTAATTATAAAAAGCCGTGTTTGTGACCGGAAAAATAATGTAAATTTTAAAATAAAATGAACAATAAAATGCAGATTCAATGAAAATTTGTTTAAAAACCCCCTCTAACTATTAGTCTGTCTCAATTATAAGTTATGAAAACAAAATTTTAAATATTATTTTAAAAAATTTAAAAAAATATTTCATGCACTGAGGATATAAAAAATATCCTTTATCGAAAATAAAGAAAAGGTCACAAGCTTTTAGGCGCAGAAAATATATACATGCAAAATATGTTAAAATGTAGGGAAATGTTCTACAACTAATCGATTTCACCGACAATCAAATTTGAAAATAAATTTTTATTTGTAATTTTTATGTAAAAATTATTTTTTTGGTTTTTATTTTACAAATCCAAAATAACAATTACTTTTGGTTTTTATATAAACAATCTGTAGATAACAGTTATTTTTGATTTTTATATTATATGTCTTAGATAACAATTATTGAAGACTTTTATTTATAAAAGTCATAAGATGATAAAAGTCAGTGACTGATTGATATTGATGACTTTTATAAATAAAAGTCTTTTTTAGATACAAATCCAAAATAAGTGTTATTTTGGATTTATATAATAAAAATCAGAAAAAAACTGTTAACTGTTAAGGAGTAATTAAATAAAGGTCAAAAAATAATTGTTAAAGAGTGATTTTTTAATAAAAGTTGTAACTGTTACGGTCCCTGCCTGGGGGTTATTGACAGACTATGGCATGCTAGTATGCTTGTATGGTTCATTCCAGTGGCCCTTGGAAACGGAAGAGTACTACTTATGGTTGGCGGTGATTACACTAGATGTGAGCGCTGACGAATGCACTACTGGATCGTCCGGTGGTTCTCGTCAACGGAGAGAATACTGCTGCTGAACACCGGTGAGACTACTGGTTAGCGCGCCAAATGGTGAATTGTGAGACTACTGGTGGACGCTGATGGCTGCAATTTAAGAGAAAAAAGCGTACTTCAAAAAGTATTGCACCATTTTTTTTTTTTGCAAATTAAGAGTTGAAACTTCTGCTCAGGAAAGATGCATACTTTTTGGCACCAGCACTGGTTTCCATTTCAAACTAAGCCTAAGCATCGCTAAGAAAACAATGAACGTCCCAAAACAAACAAAGATCTCATAGCTTTCTTTATACTTTTTAGCAAAATATAAGGGAATTTGCGAACTTCCCAATGCACCCCTTCTCCAAATTTCAAAAAAAAATATTTTACTATAATAATAGTACAGTGCAGGTTTTTACAGGAAGTCGTTCCAAGTGACCACCTCCCATAAGCTTTATTAATGGAGAAAACAGCTGTTCCTGCAAATCGTGAATTTCGTGAATATCGTGAAGCATGTGGAAACGCAACTAATATTGGATACTTTTGGATTTTGAAAATCATAGAATTTCATTGAAAAAATGTTTTAGACTTACATACATTATTTGACGCCTAGCTTTCCTTTTACGAAATAAAAAATCTAAACCTATACATATAAAGGCCAAAACAAGGCTTGAACAAATTATTTTCAATTTACTTTTTTAAGAAACTATATTTTCCCCCAGGGTTTTATTCTGTCTAATAAGAGGATAGTTAAGATCCCTTTTTAAGGAATTTTTTCCATATTTTGCCTTGATTTCATTTGTGGAATTTTTTTAAATATTTTTCCAACTCTCCTTTCACTTTTCCAACAGGTTATATCACTCGAAGGCTGGACCGATATTATGTACTACGTACAGGATGCACACAGCTTTTGGGATTGGATATATTTCGTGCTATTGATTGTGGTAAGTATACGAGGAATACTGATTGTGTTAATTATTGATGTACCAGTTTCGCCACGCTATATTTCGCCGTTTTAAAACAAAATGGTAATTAACAGCCAACAAAAACGCCATTTTTTTCAAAACCAATGCCACTCACTGCTATTACTTCTTATAAAAGCTATTTTTTTTTGATGTTAGTGATTTCCAAATAAGTTCGGTTAAATATATAATTTGGGACGATTTAATAAAACATGTACCTTAAAAAAACTTGTACATAAGTCGATTGAGAATTGCAAGCTTTTGCTACGTAGTGACGAAGCGACGTGAAATTAAATACAAATAGCTAAATTGTTTTAATGCTGCATACTTTCCGAAGGGCTTTTATTAATTTTTCCACCACGTTATTAGGACCATACAAAAATTTGTTTAAGAGCAACTCTCGCAGCTAGGAAAGAGAGCGGGAATTAATTAGACAAATCTAAATCTAAATTGGAGATTTAGTGTGTGGTTAACCAAACCCAATGCAACGTGAAAAAACTAGTAGACAGTTCAGAATTGAAAAATGCTTGCCAAGGTAATTTTTAATTGAGAAACCCTTCCGACACCCGTATTTGAACCTATTAACGCTTTCTTATTAATTCTTGTATCCCCTCTCTGCTCTGAAAAGCTATTAATTAGGAAACCAATTTGGATGATGAGCTTTTCTCTACGTAAAAAATTCTCAAAAAACTGCATTAAACAACAAACTTTACATACAAACTTTACGGCCAAGAGTTAAATCACGCTGAAGTATATTTAAAGACTTTGAACTTTTTGCAAATTTTTCCAATTTATTGATGTTTGTTGATTTTTTCGACAGAGTGGGATTTATATTCGGTTTCGGCATTGTGCCATCACCAGTTTCATTTTTTGCTGTTAACAATGCCGAAACCAGTTTGCCTGCAAACCAAACTTGACAAAGGGGACGGAAATTCGTTTCAAAAGAAATCATTTTTATAAATACATGTTTTTAACCTATTTTTCAACAAACCGAATACTGCAAATACATAAATATGTATGTACAAAATTTTAAATTTAAATTTTTTTTTTTTTTGATGAAATAATGTAAAAAGTATTCCAAAAAACGTACCTTTGACTATATTAAAAAGAATTTAAAAAATTACAAAAACATTAAATGACAAACTAATTCAAAAACAATATTTAAAAAAAATGCCATACAAGAACTTTGTTCATACGCGTGTTTTACATTTTTTCTTAAAACCAAGTGTTGCATTAATTATAAAAATTAAATATTTTCTCTTGATTGAAAAAATTATTTTGTTATTCTTTATTCAAAAGGTATAACTATTGGAATAGTTCGTTATTACTACTTATTTATCACACAACTTACAAAGCTTACGAATTCAAAGAGGATCCTAAGAATTCTTAATTTTTTCAATTCGTTTTTTTTTTGTAATTAATTTGTTGAAGAAATTTTTGAAAAATATTTTGCTTTTATATATGTAGATACATATTTTTATAAAGTTATTGAGAATAAATAGTTGTTCCAGCCCACCGAGTAATTTATTAATTTTGCAACATTTTCCAATAATTTTTTTATATAAAAATGTGTAAAAAAATATTTATTTTAATAAAAAAAAGACTTGGAAATAATAATTAAACAAATTTAAGAACAATTAAACTCATAAGTATGTTTTAAATATTTTCTTTTAAGTGTCCTTTTGAATAAATATATGTTTTTAACTATTTTTATTGAAGAAACTTTTATTCCTAAAATATTTTTTATGATACTTTTTCCTCAAATTAAAAAATTATAAATTCAAAAAAGTCCTAAGAATTTTTTTTAGTTTTTACCTAAATTTCTTGATAGTATTTTTTAATACATTTTTTTTATTAAGGAAATATTTTTTTAAATAATTTTTTATAATATTCTTTTTCCCTAATCAAAACGGTAAGATTGTTAATCAAAAACTCCAAAAAGTTCTGAATTTTGTTGTAAGTTTACTTTTTGGAAATTTTTCGATTTTCCAAAATTATATACAAAAATAGCACCTAAATAAAAGCTTTGGAAAAACAAATTAGAACTCTTAGTAGCACGAAACTTTCTTCAAAAAGAATGAGTCTGAATTTCTTACTCTTCAAACGCCCGATTTATAACTTCTTAAAGCATCTTAAATTTTATAATTTCAATTAGAAAATTTAGTTTGTTCTAAAGATAAATTTTCACTAATTTTCTGAACCCTTTTATAAATATACATATGTACGCGTACAATTGCCCAGTCAAGCGCATTAAATAGCAATAAAAAGTAGTAGGGAAAAGGTGAAATACACAAAAAAAAATCAATTTAAGCACAGCACAGCTGAGGGTCAGCAAGTGGTCCCAGGGCGCTTTTGGCGTAAATCAGGGCCAAATAGACTGAAACACACAGCCGCGCATAAGTTTCTACAAACAAACATACAAACAAAGTGTGCTTGTACGCTAAAGTGTGTTTGTGTTACTAATCTACCGGGTATATAGATTTGCTGATAGTCGCTCAGCTTTGGAAAAAGAGCTTTGTTTTTTACACACGTTTTTGTTTGTATACTAATACATGCAAACCGCATTGGTCTTAGAAAGGTGCAATGTTTTTGCTGACCACGAAAATAAGGTGGACCAGCAAGAGGAAGTCGGTAAAAGTAAATAGCTTTGTACGCTTCTGCTGCATCACCATTAGCTTTTAACGCGCGTTTTTTCGATCAGTAACACTACTTTAGTTTTCGTTTCGTGTGATAGCGCCTAAAAGTACGTTTGACTACAGAAAACGCCAAAGCGCCCAAAAGCCTACACTTATTCTCTTTTCCCAACTACACAGCCCACTTTTCCAATCTCCCACTTAACGCCAGTCAAATCGTCGGCACGTGAATGTATGTTGCACATCCTAAATTTATACTAAGCAAAATAGCGCGCACACACACACATACGCTTGACTAACTTAAAAGGCTGTATGGTTGCGTGCAATAAATGGTCAGCAACAAATGGAGCATAGGAATTTAATTTTTCATATGAACAAAAAAAAATGGTCAGCCATGCGCACACCCAAAACAAAAAAGCTCTGCAACTCGAAGAGGGGAAATTGGAATTTTTGTTAGCAAGCGAGGCTGCCGCAGGCACTGGCAAATTGAATAGCCCCCACTGCTGGAGCATTGACCTTCTTGCTTACATTAGATTTTCGAAATTTGAAATCTGGCATGGCTTTTAGGAACGCTCCTTTTTCGGCACGCACACACCATTTTCAATCAATGCCTTTTTCGCTTCTCACTCCCCATTTTCACTCTGCTCTCTGCCATTAGCTTTCCATTGCCCTTCTCAGTGCCGCCAAAATTACCGCCTGGGGAATTTGTGTGCGCTGATTTATTGATATTCAATATTTCCGCTTAGATTTCAAATTGATTTTTAACATTTCATTTTCCGTCGTCTCACTCCGGCCCTGGGCGGCATTTTATTTAACTTAAATGTAGCATATTTTTCGGTGCCTGATTATTATGGTTACTTTGTTGTTTACTTAAAGGCGGCATTTCCTGCTTATACAGCAAATATTTGCAGGAAATGAGCAGGAAAAAGAAAAATAGTCTATGCCGGCAGCAAGCAAACGAAATTTATCTGCCAATGAGTATGTAGTGTTGTGTATGCATGTGCGCGCCTAAAAGAGTGTTAAAATATTGTTTGAATGCGATAGGCACGTTTAGCAGCAACGAGTTTTTTCTGACGAGTTTCTGTGGAAAAATTGGTACTAAGAAAAATACATATTTAAAGAGTGTCATAACAAAAACACTGCAAAGGCAACTTTTGAAAAAAGTGCTCCCAAAAATATGCTCGCTAGGTTTTAAGCATTTTTTTACAGAAATTCAGCAGTATGATTTTGAATTCGGCAAAGATCTCTAAAAGAATAGAAAACGCGACTACAACGATGCGCTAGATGTTGCATCTCAACATACTCAACAGAAACCAAATTAACAATTTTTAGAATTTTTGTGTTTCTGTCTGTCTGTATGTTTGTACGCTCATCACTCGAAAACTAGTGCATGTGATTGAATGCAGTTTTCACCGACGTATTGCTAGAAGTCTAACTTAAAATACAGAAAGAAAAACATTTCGAGTTGCCACCTGTTTGCAGTTTGCAGGTAATTGCAGTTTAGGTAAATTGATAAAAGAAGTAAATATTGCAATATGGCTGTCAAAAGAAGCAGGTTTAAGAAGGCTTAGAGGCGAAAATATTTTTGTTGAGGGTTGCCACCTGTTTGAAAATTTTTATTTAATAAAATTGGTCAGATAAATTGACTTATTGCAATATACGTATCAAACTGAAGAGAGTCTATGAAAGTTTACTACCGAAAATATTTTTGAGAAGGGTTGCCGCCTATTTGAAAAATTGCATTCAATTAAAATGATAAAATAAGTGAAATATTACAATACTGGTATCAAACAGCACAAAATACTTTTAAGGCGCACGCAAAGCACGCCGGGTATTTGCTAGTGTGAAATAAATATTTACAAACTATAGGCGCCTAAAAGTATACCCGTTCTATTTGAAGCTTAAGTTCGCACAAACTAACTGAGAAATTTGCTATTATAAGAAAGTGATATAATATTGTAATACTTATTGCAATTTCTTACTGACAACAAATCATATATAAGTATACCAGCTCGTTTTCAAGCTTTTTTTATAGAAACACGAGCATTAAATTTGCTGCAGAAAAGAGATTGAAAAATTTGGGAGGCAATTTGTGAGAGAAAGTACCTAATAACAAAGTGTATCCGCCTAAAAATATACCAGTCCAATTTTAAGCCATATTTGATGCAAATTTTGAAGAAAAATTTCACTAAGAGTATGCCAAATAAAAATTTTAGTTTCTAATTTCTTGCAGAAGATACCTCACAACAAAATACGTGAGCCTAAAAGTATACCAGCTCGGTTTAAGACTACGTTTGTACAATTTTAAAAAATAAATTTATTATAAAAGTTAAAAAGGGAAATTTGACT